GTTCCGGATGATACAGTATCGTGAATCTTATAACGGAGAATTCAACTACTTTTGTGTTAATACCACCTAAACAAAAGCAATGGAATCCTGAAGTACCTGTTGGTCAATTTGAGTTACCAGATCTCAAAATACCGGAATCTCCAAAACTTATTATTTTTCAAACTTACCTTATAGCCAAAATGTTGTTGAAGTTTGATATAATTATTGATCCTTTCAATTCTTCCTTTTTTTATTTAATTTTAAACAAAATTCAGTACAATATTTTTGCTATTAGTGATTACGATATTTCATATTTGCTGTTCTGACAATGTAAGACTAACCACAATCAAAAGAATTCCACTCCTCTGCTACCACTTTTCTTGGTAGTCTTTTATACACACTAAATATAGTAAAATTATGTCATAAACAGTGTGGTCATAAAAAGTTGTGTAAAAGGTCAGATTACAAATCAATCAAGATAGTTGATAAGGCAACGACAAAGATTTGTGATATATCTATCATTGTAAATCACTAAATAATTAACTGTCTCATTAACAAAACCAGACAGTCTACAGTTATGGAAGTGTAATAATAATTAATTTTGATATTGACTTGATTCAAACTGTTTTTGTTATCTTTTGTGCAAATGAATGAAATAGAACTCTGAACAAATGCTGTATACCCGTAGATCTTTGTTTTTTATTTATTTAAATTGACCCAAGTTTCAAGTCGACATATTTTCCCTGTACCTGTCGACTACTGCGGTCTTTATTCATTTCTCATTTGATTAATTTTTAATCATGGAAACACTCGAGAGATATGGAATGATTGTTTTTTACAAATTAACTCGAGAAGCGACTGGGAAAATGCGAAAAGTTTAATTAATTAGAATCCGATGGAAGAATAGGGTGATTAAAATGTAGATAAGCAAGTAGACTGCTATGTGACAGGCGGATAGCAATAAAGCCAACCTTTATGTAGGGTCCGGAATATTGGGCAGTAAAAATACGAGCCAGAATTACACTGTGCCGAGATGGGAGGAAATTCTACAATGAATTATCGAAGTGACAATAGTATATTACACACCGAGGTGGGAAGAGTTTCGTTCCTGTCGTGAGATTAGTTAGATCACCGATACGCGAAGCGTCGAGGTTAGCTATGATCTCGAGACAAGAATGAAACTTCTTACCGAGGTTTGTATACTATTTTATTTACAACCATCATATTTCGATCAAAGTCAATAATTCTCTGTTTCGTTCTGAACATACCTAAAATATTACATTTAACGACAAATTACCAAGCGCGCGGTTTTCTCAGAATAATCAAGTGAATATATTGTTACTGTGATTACGGGGTAAACAACTGTCACCAATATAAATAAATGTCAGATAAAGCCGGATATTAAATTCGCGAATAATAAATATCAATAGGTAGTTTGTTGTATTTTAGTTCATTGTTGTTTTTTATTATTTGCCATTAAATAGGTATTATAAAATTTGTCAAAAAAATGTGTTATTTTTTTTTTAATATAAAAAATATTCATCTAGAATAGATGAAATGAGGGCGGGAAGTAGAGGCGTGTAATGTGACACTTCCCAACCTTCAATGACGTTAGTAATGACAACATTACATATATGGCTGTAAATAAAATTAAAAATTAACGTATTAGGGTTACTTTAGGAGTTGCACCTACAGGGGATAAGATAACATACCAGGGAACAGGTCTAAGTGGTTAGGAAATGTTCTAGAGGGTTAGGAGAGCACCTCTCTAGAAAATCGATAAGGTTGTATGTTGAGGGAAAGTAAGAAGTGGTAAATAACTCAATATTATACAGTTGTGAAGTGTGTAGGTATCGAAACCTATCATGTTTTTGAGCCAAAATAGTGTATAGCATAAGCGGCGCTGAGTGACGCTGTATTTTAAAAAAACAGGTTGTTTTAACGCTAGTGCAGCAACATGAATTCTACTCGTTATCAGAAATTTATAATAATAGGGATACAGTTAATAAAATGTGGCATTTTCTTAAATATGTGTATAAATGGTGGATTTGTTCATAAATTATTCTTTTCAAGTCTACGTCATAAACCCATTGTTTTGAATTTTTCAAAAATATTGTTTTACTAGTAATAATAACATTTTTTGAATCGAGACAACAATTTTTGGTAATGTTCGCGAACTTCTAGAATCCTAAGAATAGATGATAGAAAGATCTTCGGATTTATTTTACTACGCGCAATGCTTGGAGTTCTTCATATCGATGCTGCATAGTGGCTTAAAGGAGAATTGAGAGATCTGGGTAGAAATGTGTACACCAAATAGATTCGGAATCTGAATCAAATTAAAAATTCAGCCAATTTCAACCGAAGACTAATTATAAATTGCTAAATTTTTTTTTAATGCGCCCACTTTGATTTAGTTTTTTTGAAATCTTATCAGTCCTCGATTTAACTTTCGCAAGTGTAGCCAACCCTTAAGAATCATGTCTCTACACCGTAGGGCAAATACTGAGTACACGTAATAATAACCAGCGATATCGTAACTGTAGTTACAAACTTTGATTGAAATAATGTTTTCTTGTTTGTAAGGGTTATACTGACTTTTTCTAGCGTGTCTTTTTTTTCCAGACTTGATCTTAATTTAACAGTATACAATTTTTAAGCAAATTGATTTAAAATTAATGAGAACCTGGCTCAAGTCCTGCTGGTATATTTTAATTAAAAACTTTTTTAATATATATTTTTTTTTGTAATAACCGCAACGCAAATAATTAACAAGTTGAATTTATTATTGCATTTATATATCCATACAAACAGCATAATAACGTGACACATGTTAACCTTAAAAAAATATTATTTACCTCTACTTTTATCTCCATCTGTATATCGATAAGTTCTCATTATCAAGTCATATTTTATACCTAAACGGGTATCGAGCCAGAAAATAAAGTTATTAAAGTGATATGCGACGAAATATAGTCCATGTGCGTGATATTTTTAGCTGAAAGTGAAAGTATGTTTAACAAAATCTATCGCATTACGAATTATCTTTGGAAATTGATAAAAACAGATATGGTATGTCATAGTACGTGTAGATTGCTTATAAATTATACCAGAGTTTCGAATCGATCGAGTAGGTAGCGACTTTGTAATTGTCTCCTATTACGGAGGCGTACCTCAAGGTAGCGCACTTGGCCCATAACGAATTGTAATGTAGGTAAATGGTGTGTGTGTGTCGATTATGTAAGCTGTTAGGCGATTTGAATAGTGTTATTGACGTTAGACACGCTTCTTCTAGTTTTAATTGGATTTAGCTTTTTTTAGGAACTGGATTTTTATGGTTTTTAATATGCCCACATTACTACAACGAACCTTGACAGTTAGCATTAAATTATAAATTATATGACCGCATTGATGTTGTAAAATAGTTCTTTTTAGAAATTCTAGTTAAATAATAAACCGGTATAATTTCATATTTTGATATTGAATATACTAAACGTTTTATACAGGGTTTTATTCTTGGCAATTTGCTAATTTTCCTATTATTAATATTTTTTACATATGTTAATTATTGTGTTTATAAGCTAATACATCAGACTAAAAATTAATTGTTACCTGGCAGATTAACTCACTAACTTCCTTTTTGTGTAATGAAAAATATGTTTTTTAAATATCTATTAAAATGAACGGTTGACAGACCTTGTATTTCTTTCTTTGTTAATAAAATTAAAAGTTTTTAAAAGTAAAACGAAATAAAATAATGTGCAACAACGTTCTATATATGTTCGTTTATTTTGATTGTACCTAGGTTTAAGGTCAACATTATCATCAACCTCATCAAAAAATCAAACTAAATGATTCAAACTTTGAACCTTTAACTGTGAATCATTATTCCGATTGTCTACAACGAAAATTGTATTGAAAAGGAAAAAGTGTCCTTTTCGTTTTCCTATTTATATTCACAAAACTGCTTTTCCATATGCATATTCTATTCAATAAAGTGATTTCAGGCGAAAGCTCGAAAAAAAAAACCATCGTATAAAACGGGTGCATCACTGCGCTGCTTCTTGAATCCTTTAATCCTGCGGGAAACTCGCATAGTTTGCTGGTTTTGTCATGTACTCCCTGCTGCTTTTATGCAAATTACGCTGAAGCGGATTTTCGAGATATTCTCCGTACGAAATGTAACTTTTAATAGCGGATTATATTTTTTATATAACCTTTTAAGTCGTATTATTTGATATGCAGATGGGTGGTTTAGCAGTCAGCTTTATTGTTTTTTTTTTTTAACACAGTACATTTACATTTCCTCCGTTTTCAGTTTACAACATCGTTATAAAAATTAATATATTTATAAAATGTCGCGACTAGTTTCGGCCTACATGGCCATATTCAGATTTACAATACAAAATAACACACTTGATTGAAACAACAAATTCAATCATATTATCCAGATCCAGAATCCAAAAGGTAGTACTGATTTAAATGTGGTAGTTATATTTTTTAGGGCGGGTTGTACAAGAGACAGTTAAAATTTAATCTTAGTTTAAACTGTGAAACTTGTTGAATAATCATCGGTTATTGTTAAACATAGTTTTAAAAATGACATTTGTATGTTGAATATTACCAGGCGTAATAATTAAACTCCTGTTAAACTGAGCGTTTTAAAATAAAGTTATACCGAAAAAATATTTAGATGGATTCCAAAGAACCTTGCAGTGTTATCAACACTGTTGACAGGTGAAGTCATGACGCGTGTTCGGTTAAAAAGTGGTTGAAAGTGACCCACTGTCTACTGGCTTCGAAAAAAGTCTGCGCATTTTTAATCAAGACACGCCCTCAGGTGATTGTTGCTAGGTAAACAAACATCAATGATGTCTCTAAACTGTTCTCTCTTATGGTCGGTGCCTAATTATTAGCAATAGACAGTGCATATTATAAAACTAGTACAAAACCAGTGAACCATTTCTAACCTATACTTTTTTAATATGTCTCAATTCTAACGGTATTTTTGTTTGTTACAGACCAATGACAGCACAGTGGAATCGACGCGCAGCAGTACGGTGTCGGTGCGGAATCGTCAGCGATTCGGAGATGAACCGACCATCGGAAAATACAAATTACTCAAGACCATCGGCAAAGGGAACTTCGCCAAAGTCAAATTGGCCAAACACGTGCCCACCGGCAAGGAGGTCGCCATTAAGATCATTGACAAGACTCAGCTGACACCTGGTTCACTGCAAAAATTATTTAGAGAAGTACGTTTTTCTTTATGTTTTAAAAAGTTAGTTTCGTAAGGTAGTACCTTAACAAGACTTTTGCGTGAGATATGTTTCCAAAGATTAATAAATATCTACATTTAATCAATTTTGTATCTAAATTATTTTAGAGGACATTATTGTCTCTCTTCGACAGTGCTCATCGCCCTGAGTAATTTTTTTTTAAATCAATAAAGCTAAATAAAAAACAGGAAAAATACTTTGGACGTAATAAAAACATGACTTTTACCATTCACTATTTACCATTTAACTTCTTGTAAAAGAAAGGCAATCCCAATTTTTTTTATTAGTAGAGTTATAGCAATATATGACTGTGAGAAGTTATTTCTTTGTTGAAGTTTGTCAGTATTTTAATTTTTCAATTATTTTATTGTCTACGCCTGCATTATTTTTTTGTTTTTATTTGTAACTTTGAACTGAAAGTGGGCAAGGCCCGTGAATAAATAAATAAATAAATAAACAAAATTACAGGGATAACATAAAAATACTACAAAATAATTTGATAATTATTAAAACATTAACAAAACTAACCATTCCTAACATCCTTCGGCACTGGCATTCAATTTTCTAACCTGTTCGGTTGTTTTCAAATTCTTCCAAAGCGAGACCTTTTTTCTTCATTAGGCTTACCATTGTCCATTACTTATTTCCTTATCTTTTTCTTTGTTTCCCTTTTCGCTGTCTGCTCTTCTACTTTGTCCTTTTCTTTCTCCGGTATCTCCAGTGGAGAGAATCGTTGGTATCGCCGAACTATATACCCAGTGGCAGTTTTTACTTTGTATTTGACTTACATTATCTTTTCCTTGGTAAACTTCAATGGCCATACAGTTCTTTTCGTAGTCATTTCCGACCAACTCTACGTCATCGTCTTTCAGAGACTTAACCAAGGTTCGCCAGTTCTGCGAAATATTCGATTTTAAATATTTTCCTTGAGAATTGAGAATACCCAGTAATATTTTTGGATTTTCATAATAATGTGATATATGTTCCTCCAGAATAAATTTCCTATCTCATGTTTATTTGGAAAAATTATAAAATATTTAAATTCTTCTGGCAAATCACCAACCTTGTTCATAATTTTAAAATTCCGTTTTGATCCTTAAAAATCTGAAAGTTTTTAAATATATTATATCCAGATCATTTATGATACTCTCCTTTTATTTTATCTTATATAAGTAATTTTCTATTCTTTCTAATTCTTTTGTTTTGATTTTTCTTATTTTTACTGTTAACATAAAATGTTATTCAAGCTACCACTATTTTTATCTTTGAATATTTTGAAAAATGACCAGGTTTCAGTGAGAATTGCATTTTCTACCGCACTTGTGTTTTCTACTTCACTTTTCTTTTTGTTTCATCATTTTACCGCTGCTTTAGAGTAACTGACTGAGTTTTAACTTTTACAACTAATAGATGGTTGTTTTAATAAATAAGTCATTTTGCTTCTTCCAAACAACCATTCGAATAAATACCACGACTATCATCAGATGATTGTCTTATGTATCTTTGTTTTTTGCTTGTTTTCAGGTAAGAATAATGAAAATGTTAGACCATCCGAATATAGTGAAACTATTTCAAGTGATTGAAACTGATAAAACTTTGTACCTGGTTATGGAATACGCGTCGGGAGGAGAGGTGTTCGATTATCTCGTTCTCCATGGGAGGATGAAGGAGAAGGAAGCGCGAGCGAAGTTTAGGCAAATTGTCTCTGCAGTACAGTACTGCCATCAAAAAAGAATTATACACAGGTAAGAGTTAATAATTTCTTGTTTTATTTTTTAAATACACTGCTCAAAACGTTAAAAATTAAATAATAGTTCTTAGGAGTCGGCCGCATAAAAGACGAAGTCTGAGTGCGATACGGACAATCCACTCGAGTTATACAGAGTATTTTTTTTCTACGACCTATTATGAATTAATTTAGGCCATTAAGATAAAATAACTAGGCAATTTAAAAATAATTTATGACCTTTACTGATTTGTAAAATACATTCAAAAAGTCTTTAATCAGATTTGAACCCCAGACTTTCCGCATATTTTTCTACACCCATATGGCTATTAGCTATTCTACGCGCAGACTACAAAACAAAAAAGTATGCCATTGCGTTCAACTGAACGAATATATTTCATATCCATTCTACCTATTAAGAACACTGCACAAATATGAAATCCACCGATTATGGTTCTTATTTTGGTCACCCGGTAAATATTATTTTTTAAATTTTATATGTGACAATTCTATTGAGATTAAATATACATTAAAATTCTTGTGTAGAATCGATAAATAATAGCATTTCTATTTTTATTTAATCTATGTGAAATATATGAAATCAATTTATTAATTTTTTTTATTATTATTACATTGCAAATTTACAAACTACTCAAGAGTATACAGAGTAATAAGTAAATGGTTTGGTATAGCATCTTGTTAGGTGGCACGAGGCGGGCACCATCCATCGATGGGTCCGAGGTTTACTCTTAAAGGTCTTCTAACCAGTGACGTTTTATTCTTCTACGTTCCATAGGATCAGTGTATAGGTTAGCTATCAGTGGATTTGTATGATTTTCATTCCTTGTTTTGTTTTTGTTAGTCAAGGTCTGGATCACTTCATTGATGGTTGGAATGCCAAGATAATTACGAATTGTGTGATTGCTTACGAACCATGGTGCATTAGCTATCGTTCGAAGCGTTTTTGATTGGAACGTTTGTAATATATTGCTCTATACCAGCTGTAATCAGCCTTATTTTCTTTCGGGCCACATAAATCTGTTTGTTATGCTACACGGGCCGCAATATTTTTTGTGATAACTAGAGTTGCCACCTTTTTAAGCTGTAAATAAAGGACAATGGGTGACAATAGGGATCCGATTTAAATATTTTCTAAAAAAAAGGTCTTCATGTTATTTTAGTTATTTATCGCTTAATGCAGGCCTGTACAATTCAGATTTCCGAAGGGCCAGTTCAAAAATCGTAAGTGTACAGTGTACGGAGGACATTTATAAAGCATGTCTACAAAAAAAGGTACTCAACTATCGACCTTCTAAAACAGACAATTAATGTCCAAATGTATAATAGTTTAGTTTGACGTCGGCGGGCCAACCTGGTCAGCGGACAAAGGGCCACAAAAAGACCATGGCATGTTTTAAAAAGCACCTTTCTAATAATAGTGTTTGGGGCTACACAAAAAAGCTTGGAGGGCCTGCTCTATACTACATGTCTAGATTGGCTTCAGTATGGCTTTATATAGAAGTATCTTGTTTTCAATTGATAACTGTGAATGACGTCCAATTAACCAGTCAATTTTTGGCATTTTTAGCTTCAATTGTGCCTTTTTTAGCTTTATTTGTGCATTTTTAGCTTTAATTGTGCTTTTTTTTAGCTTTAATATGAGTTTTCCAAGTTAATTCTTGATCTAAGTGTAATCTAAGATATTTAACTTCGGTTTTCACTGTATGTTGTTGAAGAAACTCGTGGATAAACACTGCGTTTTGTAGTGAACGTTATTTGTGTGGATTTATTATTAGTAACTTTTATCCTCCACAGTTGCAGCCAATCTTGTGGTAGATTTAAATGGTATTGTGGCCTTTCTGATGCTCTTGTAGGATCTTGATCTGATGACATGTCTGCCGTATCGTCTGCAAAGGTGGCAATTAGTGTATTTTTGGTGGTTGGAATATCAGCAGTAGGTAGAGGAAAGAACCAAGGACGCTTCCTTGGGGAACACCTCACTTTATGGGTTGGTAATTGGATAAACAGGCTTGAACTTTGACTTGCTTTGACTCTTTTGCTTAGGTAGGATTTAAGTAATAGAAAAATGTGGTAAGGTAATATCTGCTTTATCTTGTATGGTACACTTTGTCAAATGCCTGTTAAATGTCTAAAAATACAGAGGCACAAAATCTTTTTTCTTCTAAAGTTTCTTTGATGTAGTTTACAATTCTATGGAATTGTTGGATAGTGTTGTTCTTTGAAACCAAACTGATGTATGGGAATCGGTTCATCTTTAGGTATTATTTCGCTAATTCTTATGAGGAGGAGCCTTTTAAAAATTTTAGATAACTGTGGCAGTACACTAATGGGTCTGTATGAATTGGGTTTTTACAGATATTTTCCTGGCTTTTCTAACATAATTATTTGAGCGTACTTCCATTGTATTGGGTGATTAGTCTGCATTATTCTATTAAATGTTATGGTAATAAATACAAAGGAAGTGATAGTTGGTTGGCAGATATGTTTCTACCTCTGCATCTATATTTGGATTAACTGATAGTAGCGGAGTAAAAACTGTAGCTAAGTGTTCTGCAAACGTTCTTCTCTTTTCTGCCTTTGTGCGAACCCAACTTCTATCATATTTTCATAGTGGTGGAATTGCAATAACGGGTCTCTTGAACTGTTTGATTGCTTTTCATATTGTGTGATCTTGGGGTGATAAATTGGAAATGTAGTAATTAAATGTAGCATTTCGGGTTTCATTAAAGCGGTCTTTATACGATTAGTTAGTCTGTTCAGAATTGTTTTATCTAGAGGATTTATGCTCGCTTGTGTTCTCCAGATAACGTTTGTGATCTGAATCCTGATCTATATTGCTTTCGATATGACTATGTGACTCTTTGTTATTGCAAAGTCTATTAAATCCGGTATTTTGTACAAGTCTGCCGGCCAGTATGTTGGCTCACCAATTGACATGGTCTTTAAATTTAGTAACGGTATAATCTGCAATAGATTTCTTCCTTTTGAGGTGATCAATCTAGAGCCCCAAATGGTATGTTTGGCGTTCCAGTCGCCGAAACTATAAAATGGGATCCTAATGGTAGGTAATAATAATTCGTTGTATTCTTCTGAAGTAATGGTATGCCTTGGTGGACTGTATATTGCTTCTATTCTTAATGACCAGGGAAATGTCTTAACGTTTATCAAAGTGCATTGTATTTTATTGGTAGTGTATGGTTGTAATTCATTATGGTCTAGTTGCTCTTATTATAACTGCTGTACCTGCGTGTGCTGTACCATCGGGATGATTTGCATAGTATGTATTGTAATATGGTATTTTTATTACACTAAGTTCCTGTATTTCTGATATCAGAAGTATCAATTTTATTAGTATTTAGAAAAATGTTTATTTAATTTATGTGATTCTTTAGACCGTTGGCATTCCAAGCTGCAATTCTTAACGAATGGATCATTAGTTAATTAATTTAGTGATGACTCGTAAGCATGTTTAGTATCATGCTATTTTGATTAAACAATTGTGAGAACTCTGTTTTGAATCCGCCTAAAAAGTTGGTAAATGTATCAGCTAGATAATTGTTGTTGTAATAAGTGGCTGCTGTAGCGTATGTGTAATTGTGTAAATTTTGGTGAGATCGTTGACTGGATTGTTGGGTTGGTGTGGTATGGGGGATAGTGTTGGTTCTGTTCTATATTTTCTTCAATGGTTGATTCGGGTAGCTTTTTGCTCTCAGGTCTTTGTATATGGAACATTCTCTATAATTGGCCGGATGATTCCTGCCACATAGAGCGCAGATTGCTGGAGTGTTTTTGTATTTGGTACAAGTTTGCTGTCGTGTGATTTTCCACATTTGACACAATTATATGGCTTGTAGCAATAGGATTTAGAGTGTTCGTAGGCCTGGCCGCGTATGCACTGAATTATATTATTACGTTGGTAATAGCTCCTTGCTTACCCTATGCTTTACATTAATAATATTTCTGACTTTTTGGCCTTTTTTTCGAACTCCATTTTTTTCTTCTTCAGACGGAATAAAGTGATGAGTCACGTAGTACTTCTGTATCATATTTCTTGTTTGATCTGATATGTAAAATGTATTATGTTAATATCTTTTAGATGCCTAACTAGTTTTCTGTAGCCTTCAATGGTGTGAGTTTTTATTTTAACGGTATTATTTGATTGTGATTTGGTATCATATAATTAATCTTCTAGAAATTCAAAGAAGTTATTATCATTGCTTTGAAATGTTTGACACCGTAGATAAATATTGGAGGGGGACGAGAGTTTTGAGTTTTGTCTTGTTCATTAGGAACAGTGCTCTGATTGTTATCTTCTTCTTGAAAAGTATTGGATGTTTCGGAGGTCTGTTGATTTATGGTGTTCTTCTATATTTTTCTTTTTCTAAACTTGACTTTTTGCCATGAAGGGGTCTGTTCTTGGTCGTTTGTGGCGTCCTTGTCGCTTCTATCGATTCATCTGTTGATGTTATGTCTTCATAATTATGCATTGGATCTAAATCGCTACGGTTTGCTACATGTGGTGCGTAGGGAGGTGTTGGATTTATGTTTTGATTAAAAAAGGGTTTCGGTTGAGGAATTACGGAGTAGAAACAATTGTTAGGAATAGAAGAAAATTGATTTTGATCGTTTTGGTAGAATTGGGGTTTTTACTATATGCTGTATTTGCATTGTTGGTGCAATATTTGGCTGTTGTATATGCATGTGGCTTGGGCTAGAGCTATTATCGAATGGAAACATTTTTTCCTGTTCGGAAATTTATTTACGAGTATTAAAACTAAATTGTTATGTGTGGCGATGGAGCAGAGACTAGGGCATCTGGCTTCATCCAAAGATCCCGGGTTCGATTCTAGAATTGGAGACTAATTAAATTAAATCTTTTTATTATATAAATTATTAAAAGCCATAAATTATTTTTAAATTAGTTATTTTATCTTTTGCACAAACTACTATTGTTCGCGTTTTTAATTGCTATAAATTAAATTATAAAGGTTAGGAAAC